AACAACGGCATCAAGTTTTTTATTTGTTTGTTTTTTGCGACAGGATCTTACTATGTAGTTCAGGCTGGCCTTGAACTCCAGGCTCTCCTCCTGCCTCAGCCTCTCAAAGTCTAGAATTACAGGTGTGCTCCACCATGCATGCCCAGCTTTGAATTGTTAATGAAAAGTATTTCTATACATATAAAAGTATATTTTTAACGTTATGTATAGAAGAAACTAAAAGAAAATTTATTTATTGATTTTTATCTTTAGGAACTATATCTTTATAATATATTCTGGGGTGGGATGGAATCTGGAATCTCAGTATTTTAATGTGTGTTCTCAAATGATTAATGATGTTGAACATTTTTCATGTTTGTCTTTCTCTGTATGTCTTTTTGAGATAGTGTTTTGCTACGCAGTTTAGGCTGGCCTTGAGCCCAGGCTAGTCTGGAACTCAAAATAATCATCCTGCCTTAGCCACTTGAGTGCTGGGATTACAGGCGTGCACCACCATGCCCAGCTCTACTTGTGACTAGTATTTGTTCACCTGAGAACTGTGTATTTATTTCAGATGTCCATTTTTGGATTGGGTCTGTGAATTTTGGGGGCCTGAGCTGTTTCAATTCTTCATATGCTCAGAATGGCTATTACCAGTCCCGCATGTCACAGTGGCCCCGACCCTGGGGCACGCTGAGCTAATGATTCTGGGCATGATGGTGCGTGCCTATAACCCCAGCACTGGGGAAGGTGAAAGGAAAAGTATCACTATGAGTCTGAGCTGTGTAGTGAGACCCTGTACCAAATATATAAATGGAAAAAAAAAATGGCTATCTATCATCAGGGCCAGGTATTGTGGTACATGCCTGTAATCCTAGCCTTGGCAGGCTGTGAGTTTGAGACCAGCCTGGGCTACAAAGTAAGCTCAAGACCAGCCTAAACTGAATAGGGAAGCCCTGTCTCAAAAGAGAAACAAAATAAATAGAATGCTGGTGGCACTGTGGGGAAAAAGGAACCCTTTCCACTCTTGGTGGAAATGCAAGCACTGTGGAAATCAGTGTGGAGATTCCTCAAAAAAAAAAAAAAAAAACCCTAGGTTTAGAGGTCCCATTTGACCCCACTATTCTGGGTATCTTCCTAGAAGAATTAAAAACATCATACCACAGCAATATATGTGCACCCATGCTTATAGTAGCACAACTTTTAATAGCTAGATCTTGGAAACAACTCAAATGCCCGTCCAACAAAGATGTGGTCTTTTTCTATAATGGATTACTATTCAGCCACAAAGAAAGATACAGAGAGGGCTGGTGAGATAGCTCAGTGGACTAAGTGCCTGCTCTGGCAAGCACAGGGACAAGGGTTTGACCCCCAGTCCTGCATGTGGCGCCGGCCCCAGGCAGCTGAGCCAGGGACAGAGTTTGGGTGTGGTGGTGCACACTTGCAATCCTAGTGCTGCGGAGGTGGAAACAGGAGTATCACTACGAGTCTGAGCTGTGTAGCAAGACCCTGTACCAAAAATATAAAAGGAAAAAGGAAAAAAAAAAAGATGCACAGGAGACTTTTATCCTTAAATGGATGCAAATACAGACCACACTGATTAGTGAAATAAATCAGATTCCCATGCGTAAGTACCATATTGTCTCATTAGTGTGAGAAACTGAAAAGAATAAATAATACTCAAAAGGTACAACAGATATTGTGAATGGGAAAGAAATTGTTCAAAAGAAAAGAAAAATTGTGATGGGAGGACAAGGATAGGAAAGGAAAAGAAAAAAAAAGATTTATATCTGTAAGAAATTAGGTAACCTATCACATATAGCACATACATGCCAGGCGTGGTGGCACCACCTGAATCCCACCCAGGACTTGCAAGGCAGAGGCAAGAGGATCATCTTTGTGAGTTCCAGACCAGAGTGGGCTCAAGGCCAGCCTGAGCTGCACAGTGAGACCCTGTCTCAAAAAGGGGGAAAAAAAAATATATATATATATGTATATATATGTATTTCATCGATATATGTACAAATTAAGATATCTAGGTAGTTAGTTTTTTTTAGTTCACTGGAAAAGGTTTGTGCTAATGCTTATTTGGGCAATATTTCATGCCTGTATCTATACTCTGAACAACTACTGTGAAGATAAAAATATGCAGTGTATTCCCCGATATCAGAGATCGAACACAGGACCTTGCACTTGCCAGGCAGGCGCTTATACCACTGAGCTATCTCCCCAACCCAGTATGCAATGTTTTAATTATCGGCATTCTCCTACTAGCCTGCTTCAAAACTTTTGCTATTTTTACTCTTTTCTGTTTAAAATTAAAAAAAAAAAATTACATTCTGGACAATTGTAAAGGTGGTATGGCGTCATATTTGTCCTCAGATTTATTTCAATGTGTAATTTTTTTTGGATTTTAAGCCAATAACCCCAAAAATGCAGTGAAAAATAAAATCTGCTTGAAGGAACACTGACCTAAATCAAGTCCCTATGCTGGGTAGTACACAGCAGTGTTTAGAATGAAAGCAGAAGGGAGGCGAGAGTAACTGTGGAAAACCACTCCAGAAAAGTCATTTTATAAAACACATTTTAATTCTAGTCTTTTAGTACTTATTTATGTCAGGCTACCTCTTACTGGATAGTTGGTTTCCTGTACTGAGACACAGAAAAATTATTTGTGGTTAGAAAATAGCAGTCTCAAAAGTATGACTGAAAAGTATATTCTTTGGCTTGCTATTTTTTACAGCAAATTTTACTTTAAAATGAGGATGAGTTAATCATATTTGAGATGAACTCTCCCTAGTGGGACTGTAGTAGACTTGTTCAGCAAAAGAAAATGGATTAGATCGTGAAAAGGATTTTATGTATAAGTCATTGATAGAAAGTCTAGGGCCCAAAATAGTTTTTTTTTTTTTTTTTTGGCTGGGGGTGTGTAGTTCAGTGGTAGAATGCCTGTGTAGCATGTGAAGGGCCCTCAATTCTACCCTCAGTATCCCCCCACCAATAAAAGAGTTTAGCTGTTAAAAGAAAAAAAAA